AAAATAGGGACTGCTAGTTTACTCCAACAGTGACGTGGGCTTAAAATAGACACAATCTCTACCCCGCTCATTCCTTTGACTCTTAACTTTCAAGTATTTTAGTTGTGACAATGTTTATCCATAATATTCACTGACTGCCAAATGGATTTAAAAAAAAAAAAAAGAATGACACATCACTGGATATTTTTAGTTGGTTTTTTTTTTTTTTAAATAAGTTTCATGAATACACGTCAAACACAAACCTAAACTTTTTGGCTCCAAAGCAAGCCTATAATTAGAAACCTCATTTGTTCTGCTAGTCAGGAGAGCCATTTTCCCTAGGGAATGTTACTGAAAGGAAACCCAGGAAGAGTTGTAATGGCCAAACAACATGAAACTTATTAATAACGGACACGGGTAACACAAAGCCATCCTAACCAGACTTGAGCAGTTACAAATTGCATTTTATCGTTAAGAACTGTTTTCTTCCCAAATAAAATGCTTTTTTTGTCTCTTTTAATGAAATGCCTCGACCCACTGTGCAAATTCATGTAGAACAGACCTAAAAAAGAGCTTCTGCACCCAGAGGCTTGTCTACTTTTTCATGCTTGCACCAGCTCATCCATTAAAAAAACATAAATTGCTACACCTTTCCCTGCAAACCTCCTCTTCCGACAGCGAGACACGGCTGGTTACCTTGCCAGGAGTAGTTAGGGATGACACTTTCACCCTCTGCCTTTTGCCTCTCTTCTTCATACCTCCTCTGCTCTTTCACATCCGCTTTCCACTTCCAGATTTTTTTTTTTAAATTAATTTCCTTTCCTACCTCCATTACTGCACCTGCAAATTCCACTGACACGCAGAGAAGAGGGCCATGAGAACAATGTCATGGCAGGGGGCACCCGGTGCAGGGGAAGGAACTAAGGCAGCGGGTCTGGAAGTCGTGAAGACAGAGAGCAGTAAGGGGAAGGGAGAGGGAGAAATCAGACTTCAGAGGGGGAAATCAGACTTCAGAGGGGGAATGACCGGTGTTGACAGCGAGGCAACAAGCACGTTCCTGGGTGCACGAGGAGAAAGTGCATTTCTGGAAACCGCCAACAGAAGCAACTGCATTTTTCTTGTAAGCACTTTCACAGCCCCCTATATGAACTGGAGAAAACCAGAGCATAAACACGCAGCTGCTTTTTCTTCTTTAAAGAGCAGAGCAGCATCCTCATGTCAAGCTTCCTACTTCCAAGCTATTTTACATTAGACATCAAGCAGAGCTCGCTCACATTTTGCGCGCGAACTATTCACAATGCAGATGCTGGATACAAACTGCAGGATTTGACCTCTTCTAAGAGCTGGGACCCATGATGTTCACAGCACCGCCAGCTTCTGAAGGAGTCTTTCCCCAAGCACAGCAGTGTGTCCTCTTACAGATGTAAGAGAGAGAGGGGGACAGAGAGATCTTGCCCATAGTCTCTTCTCATGTTTCTAACTCTTGCAGCTATAGTGGAAGTGGACGTAAAAACACAGAGCCAAGCACAGGGATGTCCCCAGGTCTTTGCAGGGATCCTCATGGAAAACAGGAGCTTAAAAGGGCTGGGAACTAACCCAGATGCCAACCACACTTAAAAAGCCATTGCCCATCAGGCCACCTGAGAAAGGAGAAAGATCGCAAGGATTTACATCAACCCTGTTCAAAGTGGGAGAATACAGGGAACTGGTGCATGGAAGGGAAGTGCAGAAAAGATATGCAGGAAGATGTCTATCCCTCCAACATCTGGTAGGGCTTGCAGGAGCAGGCACGACTGTTTTCACTTTTCCTGAAAGGATGGGGGCAGCGGGAGGGAAGAGGGAGAGAAAGGGGTCAGCTTTCAAAAGTGTGCAAAACATCTTCTTTCAGTATTTTCTCTACAGGGAATGGACAGTTTCCAAGGGCTTGATCATACAGAAGCACGGGCCTGATCTTGCAAAAGCTTATGCACATGGATAACTTTACCTCACATGAGTAGTCACACTGGCAGGACAAAAATATTTACAGTTCCTCCTTTTTCATTTATTAAATGAGTCATTGCAAACATGAAACCGGGCCACACTGAGCTTAATCCAGCCTCCCATACTTACATTTTTACAACAATCACAGAAGGTAAGAAACCTTAAATCAAGCTAACTTTCACGAGCAACAACACAGCATAAAGCAGCCTGCATTTTATGCACATTGCCCTCAGGTTAAACTATTTCTTGCTTACGCAATCACTTTGGGGCCACAGCTTGGCCCCAAAACACCATGCTGCCTGGCATATGATGTAATGGCTTTTGTGCTTCAGGTTTTTTTCGGGAAGTGGTACAGAGGGAGGAAGAGACAAATCTTTAACCACTGTATAGAAGATCAGGCATCTTAGGCAAAGCCCAAAGGTACTAGCGTAGGATTTTTACACCAGAATTGGTATCAACCTATTAATTCTGTCTTAGCTGCAGAAATTGAGGTACATAGGTAAGCCCACCCTCCATTAAAGACAAAAGTTCACCCAGCTACTTAATATTCTTTTTTTCTTTGGAAATTCATACAAAACCAGTCCAAATGCTACTACTGAGTTTTTCAGCAGGCACAGCTGCAAGCCTAACGCTCTGACCCATTTCTTCCCCAGGAGAAAGGGGGCAGAGGGAGGTAAGACAGAGGGATAAAAGTAATTGCCAGCACTTAAGTCTTCTGCAAGAAAAGAAACCCACACTGCAGAACTTAGTATCTGTATAGTTGAGAAAGACACAGGAACAATAACTAACGGCTCCCCTCTTTTCGCTCAAGGGGACATAGTATGCATTTTTTGACTAAACCTCAAATACAAACCAAAAGTAACATCCTCATCCATACAAAGAGGCTTATTATGATTGTTATTGCTGGAAGGGGAAACTCACTCTTACTGGCCACATGACTGTTGAAATCTACATTCAGCATTGTTTGGGGATTTTTTTTTCTTTATAACTCAGCAGCTCAGAGCAACTGGTAATAACTTTATGGCCAGAAACATTAGCCGAGTGTTTCAGATGCTGCAGAGTCAGCAATACAGATGAATTTGTTCCAGGCTACTAAAACACGTACCCTGCAGCACCTCACTGCACTATTCATTTGGGAACCATTACTAGAGCACAGTATCAAATTTTAGGGGTGTTGTTTTTTTGGGGTTTTTTTTTTTGCCATCCCCCCTTGCTTGGAAACGTTAACATCACACACAGTGATTCAGGTGTTTGCACAATTTACTACTTACACAATTAGTATGCAGTAAGGCAACTCATACAACAGCGTTATAAAGACACGTGTGTTTTTAGCTTCTGAATCAAGACCTGGGTCGTCTCATATCTCATGATGCAGCAGCGACACGCAGCCTGACAGCAGCCAGGTATCTGCTTCCACAGTAACATCACGCCACGGCCCTCCGCTGTAAGGGCCATGTGGCAGCCAACGCTGGACAAACAGGTTACCAGATGAAGTTGGAAGGACACTGAGCAGGACTTTCCAACTTCCAGAGAATCCCTCAGGTTACTGGGTGGCTGAAACTCAAGCCGGATCAGAAAAAAGACGACCCCTGAGGAGGGCTGCAGCCAGAAGCACCCTGGGGAAGCAGCCACGACCGGATCAAAAGCCGGTCCCAGCTTATTTGCACAAGGTGCCCAGCTCAGGTGCAGGAGAGGGTGTGCCCAGGCTCCCTGCCAAACTTGGTAAAGGAAGCCAAATCTTGAGAAAGCTCTATGCACTTCCTCGAACGGGAGCAGGAGTTTCCTGAGGGGCAGTTAGAGGGCTTAAGTTTTGAGCAAATCAAAGACGGGGCGTAAAAGATGGAGAACCTCGGAGAAACAGAAACTGAGGTTGGTTTTCTGCAGCGCAACGTAGCCTAGAGGAACAGCTGTGTGCAACGAACTATGGGACGTGCCAAGCCCCACCGGTGGGCCAGAGGGCACCCAAGGTACCCAGGCTTTGACAAGGAAGTTTATAGCTAGGTCTCCATAGCAGCAGTAACAGCAACACCAAAGTGCAGCAGGAAAAAAACCACCAGAAGTTTGTACAAAGAAAGAGGCGCTGAAGAGAGAGGAGCCACAGACGCTGGTGGGAGCAGGGGAAGAAGAGCTAGCATAAATGAAACAGGCTCGCTATAGCTTATGGCTTCCAAAGACACAAACCACCTCTAGAAAGAGATCCTGCACTTTGGGAAGAGAAAAACAAGAGGGGCTGGACTGCTTAACTAAAGAAACGTGTCGTTTACCCTATATGGTTCAAGGACTGCCCTGGATCGGTCAAGGGCTGTTCCATTTTGTATCCCTGACACCAGTTTTGCTCCTAGGAGAGAGGGGCCGGTTTTGTTACGGCAAGGTTTCCTCACCACTTCTCTCTCTGCCCGTTGGTCCTCCTCCACTGACATTTCAACCGCAAAAGGGCTTGGTTCGGGGGTTTTGCTTTGTTTTTAATCGGTTCTTCACTTCAAAGCCCACTTGCCGTTGACTTCCTGAGCTTGAATGCTTAAACCAAGGCACTCGAGCGCTTCTGAGGGCCCTTCTCTGCCGACATAAACCGCTCAAGAGGCTGCCGTTCCCCTCGAGGCCAGCTCCCGGCGGGGTGAAGCGGCGGACCCCGGCGGGGAGCCGCCAGCCGAGCCGATAGCCGGGCTGATAGCAGGCTTACTCACCGCACCGGACTAACACGGGACTTTCTGACGGCACCCCCAGCCCGCCGGGCGCCGGGGGGAAGGGAGCGGTCAGACCCGCGGACCGGCTCCCTCAGGCCGGCTCCCCAGCGGGGCACCCCGGCGGGCTGCGGCCGGGAGCCCCTCGCTCGAAGCCCGAGGGGGGGAAAGCCCTGCCCCGCCGCCTCCTCCCCGCTCCCTCCCGGGGCCCGGGCGGCTCCCGCCGGTCCTTCCCCGTGGAGGAGGGGGGCGGCGGACACGTGGAGGCCGGGGCCGGAGGAAAGGAAGGGAGGGGGCGGCCCGGCCCGGCCCGGTCGCCCCTCAGCCCGGACACCCCTCAGCCCGGCGCACGGCACTTACTTGGGGGGCGGCGCGGGTCTTGCCCGGCGGCCTCCTGAAGAAGGAGGTGCGGGCGGTGAAGAAGAACTCCTCGGACTCCTCCTCCTCCAGGCTGCTGTAGCCGCTGCTCATGCTGCTGGTCCAGGTCATGGGCGGCGGTGGCGGCTGCTGCTGCTGCTGCTGGGGCCGGGCGGCGGAGAGCACCGTCCCGGCCGCCGCATGGGGCCCCGCCGCTGCCGCTCCTCTCCCAGCGCCGCCGGGCCTGGGGCGCAGGAGGAGGAGGAGGAGGAGGAGGAGGAGGAGGAGGTGGAGCC